CACCACAACATGAGGAACTGTATTAAAGGGTTGCGGCATTAGGAAGGTTGAGAACCATTGGAGGTGGTTCCTCTTAAGACCAATGACGTGGTCTGGAATTCCCATTCTTTGCAATGTTATTCATAACTTGTTATGATCCACACAGTCCAATGATTTTTTGCATCGTCAATAAAACACTGATTGAACTCTTTTTGATAGTCTCAATTTCATACAAATAAAAATGAAGATTTCCAAATAACAATGTTAAAATCAATGAGAACTGGATTCAAGTACTCATTGTTCTGACTACAAGTTGCTTTATCTGAACCTATTTTTCACATTTTATGATGGGGCTTGTAAGACTTACCTCATAAACTCAGTGGATCATTTAATGAGATAATAATTCAAAAGTTCTTAACCTAGTACCTGGATAAATATGGGACTTTAAATATACACATGGACAATTATCATTCTTACCAGGTTTTGTTTACTTGATTGTTTTTTAAATTCTTTTATGATAGCTAAACAGATCTATCATATGAAGACACTACAAGGTATTTAGCCAAATGATATAACTTCTTATTTATGTCTTTACCATCCAAATTTTCATAAATTAAATATTTGAGAAAGAACTAGTCAGGAAGGTGCTTCGGTTGGGACTTCTTTGTCTACTGGATTTGGCATCATAATCTTTACACTCATCAACTATTACTTATCATATTAGAGAAGAGCCAGACACACACTGGTCACTCCTAAAACCACCATGATAACAAATGAAACCAAGCCCTCACTTAGCTCATCGGTGTCCCAAATGGGACTCAGATAAAAAATGGGGTGTAGTCCATAAACCCTCCTCATACACACCAAACCTATCTCATTTTTATCATCACAATTTTAGACTTAAAAGTTTCTTCTTCAGTGAATATTTTTCCTTCTTCAACATCTTCTTGAAGATTATTTCATCCATACTATTTATTCCTCCCTTAATTCACGGTTGACAGTCCACTGATGACCCCTGAGATATGCAGGTGATATAACTGGTCGATGAGCCAGATCAAACCCCAAACAGAACTCACCCCAGTGATTCTATGCTAATTCATAGCAACCCTCTAGGAAAGAGTCCAACTTCCCCTATGAGTTTCTGAGAGTGTAACTCCTATGGCAGTAGAAAGCCCCGAGGAGAGGCTGGTGGTTTCAAACTGCTGACCTTGAGGTTAGCAGCTCATCTTATAACCACTACATCACCAGAGCTTGTTCCTCTAAGGAACCAGCTACAGAATCAAAATCCAGCGGTAGGTATCAGCTAGTTTCCACACACTGTAACTTAGACTGGGAATAGGCCATACTCCAAACGAAACTTCCCCCAGTCCTTTCAAGGTTGTGACAAGATGAAGAAGGTGTTGACCTCACTATGTCGGATCACATCATGGGAGCATTCTGGCCCACCCAGGCTAACATAAAACCTAACTATCACCACTAATATTTAGATTTGTGTTTCAAATATGCTTACCATTTGGATATAAAAGACATCTCTATAAATTAGACACCCTTAAGTCACAGGAAACAGTTTACTTTCATTTATCAGGAACAATGAATATGTCTTCTGTAGTTCTGATTGGTACATTGGAATCGACTCGATGGCGCTAGGTTTGACCTCGGGGTTTTGAAGGGAGAGGGAGCTAAAGAAGCAAAAATAAACCAAGTTGAGAAAGAGTGAGTCAAAGTACTTGGCTACCCCCAGCATTCACAGTTGGGGTATTCCTCCGATTCCCATAAAGCGTTATCATCACCTCGGCTGCAATCATGTAGAAAATGAATGGAGTAGAAAATACAAGGGGATAATTTAATAAGGCAAGCCTTTTTTCTTATGAAGTCTTTGAAGGAAGAAGTCATTAGATGAAGACTTGGCTTTTGTTTACCCAGGTCAAGAGGCATGTCAGCTTGGTGATATGCCGTTGGCATCAAGTCTGTAATTAGACATTCCTAGAGAGCTGGAAGGAAACACCCAGTAGGTATTTCCAAAGACAAATAGACAAAATAGTTTAGTAAGGAAGCCTTTGGCCAGGACAGAGACCCCAGGCTCAGGTGCATGGAAGGAATCATTTGCTGACAGCAAAAACACTGAACTGTCAGGATGGGATGCTGGCTTTTGAGTGAGAGTCTCTCTCTCATATTAATAGTAAGTAGCATTTTTGTTATTCAACTTTCAATCTGTGTATTGAATAGTCTTTGATTTCTAGATGACTCGCATAGACATAATAGTTAAGTATTGCTTTAGTTAAAAAAATAAAAGTAAAAAAACTAAACTTGTTAGAAAACATTCCGGAGATCTATTTAATTTACCCTTACAGAATCATGTGAAGTTGTTTTCCGATTGAGTTCATTTTTAATTACGTTTAAAGTCAAGTAGTTTGTTTTTTGCATAATGTATGAATGTTTCTCTAAATCAAATGGAGTCTTCGAATTAGGCTTTGAAATTGGAATTTTTCTAGAGTACTCTCTGAGTTGTTTTCAAAATTCTCTCCCCCTTCTTTACACCACCAACTGACAGCAGAACAGCAATATTGATTGGAAAGGTTTCAGGAGTATTCATAATATTACTGAAAGTTGACCTATGCCATTGAAAATCTCTTTTTGAAGTGGCAATCTCTGATCATTATAAATATTGTTTAAAAAAATCATCACTCTATGAAGCATCTGTGTATGGAATAATTCTGATTAATATTGAGAAACTCCTCATTTTATTTTAAACAAAGACCCCACCCCCAGTCACTTTGAATTGAGGAAAAGGTTGACGATAGTACTGATTGGTTCTCTTTCTCCCTGGGCTCTAGCTCTTGTGGCTGGGTGTGAATGTATATCTGTTCATCGACACATTCTGCTGGTACGGAGAGGAAGAGGCATTTCTGTACACGCGAGTTATTCTGGGTGTAAGTAGACTTGGTGGCTATTCATTACAGTTTCAGGAAACAGAATATATTCCATTTCCCTCAGCGACAGTCTCACTGTGTCTCTTTGTTTGTGTCTTCTCTTGGGAGCAGTCCACACTGGCCTGGGCGAGAGCATCCGCAGTGTGCCTGAATTTTAACTGCATGCTCATTTTACTACCCATCAGCCGAAACTTTATTTCATTCTTGAGGGGGACGCATACGGTAAGTACTCAGAAATGTGTCTTCGTCGCAGTTGTTATGATTTACAAACCCCACTGTGTGAAAGACAGTCTTTCTGAGGAGATCCCTTGGGCCCCTGAGGGAACCAAGGTTTTGCTTCTTTGTGGAGGAGGATACAACGTCTAACATGGGAGCTCAGTAATTGGTGTGGCCGGCCTGATTGACTCTTGCTCTCGCCATTCATTCCTCACAAGACATCGGACTCATAGGCTCACCCTTTCTCTGAGACACCTACTCCATCTGAAAACCAGGGCTAATTAAATTGACCGGCCATACAGAGATGGAAGTGCTATAAGAGGTGGGACTATAGTACCATGTATGATTGAAAGAAGGCGAATAAGCAGTTGTGCCAAAGGCCGGTAAAGAAACATCTCTCTGAGGATGTGGGAAGCACCACCATTGCACATCCACGTGGACTTTAACCTTGACCAGAAAAAAAAATCTTAATTTTATGGATTTCACTGTGTTGGGTACTTAACGTTCATTTTCTGCTAAAGAAGCGAGAACATGAGATTTCCAATAACCATTACTTGAACACATAATTCATTATATAATCAGCACACTCTCACTTTATGAATTTATAGAGCTGCATATCAACCAGTTGCCACTGAGTTGATGCTAACTCATGGTGATCTCATGTGAAAGAGAGTCTCACGTGGGGTTTTCAGTGGCTGGCTTTTAGGAAGTGGATCACCAATGATCCGCTTTCATTTAGCAAGCAGGCAGAGGAGCTTTCTGCATCTTCCAGCAGTTCCATAGATGTATCCATCATCTTTGTCTATTAAGGAATCATTTCTAGATTACTTTAAGGAGGAAGAGTTATTGCCTTCCTTTTCCAGCTAAAGGGATCGAAGCGTAAATGTCAGCAGGATTACACCAGAGTGCTGAGTTGTAGTGAGAGGACAGATTCAATGACTTTTCTTGAACTGACGTTCAGCAAAGCCACCATTTGGTTAATGAGCCACAAGCTTTGTCACCAAGGGTCCCCAGTGGTAAAGAGCTTTGCTGCTACCTTGAAAGGCTGATGGTTCAAACTCATCAGCTGCTCCACAGTAGAAAGATAGGGCTCTCTCCTCTTTCAAAGATCACTGCCTAGAAATCCAGTCATTTCATGGAAAAAAGTCCTCCAGGTGGGCCTGAGACTTTCCAAAGCCTTTAGTTTCCTTGGCTGCCGAGCCAGAGCCCTGGAAAGGCCCAGGTATTTAGGCTGCTAGGGGATGGAGTCCTTAAAGCTACCCCACACCTTGGTACTTGGCTTCCAAACCTGGCCGAACCACAAGAAAAATGCAGCAAGTGAATGCACTTTCTTGATGTGAAGGTTTCCTTCCAAGGAGCCCTGGTGGCATAGTGGGCTCCATGTTGGACTGTTAACCCCAAGGTCAACAAGTCCATGCCACCAGCTGCTGCGAAAGAGAGAGATGAAGCTGTGTGCTTCCATACAGATTTGTAGTCCTACACAGGTTCGCTTTGAGTTAGAATAGGCTCAATGGCAGTGGGTTGGGTTTGGGGGCTTCCTGGGTTTTCCTCCAAAGATGCTGCTTAAGCAGAATCTAAGTAGATGGTATGAGATCCTTACGCCCCCCAAAAAGGGAAAAGTGATGCCAGTCTTGGGAACCCTTGGGGACAGATCCACTCAGTCCATAGTATAAACAAGAGCTAGCTGTGCTTGGCAACAAAGAGGTTTGGGTATTGCTTAGGTTTGTGACCTGACCTGAGCCCTGTGCCCAGGACACCACGTGACACCCACCCGAGTCAGGCTTTTGTCTTTTTGTGCTTACAGTGCTGCCGTGGGCTGTGGGGGAGACAATTAGACAAACACCTCAAATTCCACAAACTGGTTGCCTATGGGATCGCTGTGAATGCAAGTACGTGCTGACTATGAATTACCTGATGGGCTTTGCACCATCTCTGCCTTAATTCTTTCATTTTCTTTCAGTCCCCTCTGCAAAGTTTCCCTCTTAGACAAGAGAAACCCTTGCCTTCCCACCACATAAACCAAATAAGCAGTTTGTTTAGTTTTGTTTTTGGTTTTGTTTGAGCGGGGGGATGGTTTGGTTTTTAATTTTGAATATCTCCTTGGACCCACACTTCCATAGCAAGGTGTCAATTTGAGGAGAAGTTACCGAGACTTCATGCTCATTTGGGAAAAAGCAGGCCCGTCACTATCGAAATGGTGAATGCCGACTAGAAAATGCTGGGTTGGTGACTTAAGATGATTCCCACAGGAACTAAAAGTGGCCCCTGCTCAAATCTCACTCACAGTTGTAGGAAAAGGAGGGCCTGGGCCATAAAAAGAGAAACGAGGTTCTGTCTAGCATTGAGAAAGTAGGAGGGAGGGGGCGCGAAGAATCATGGAGCGATGGGAGCATGATGTTTCTAATTCAGGAGAAAGGCCCTAGGAAGTGGTGTCCGAGGTCATGGTGAGGCAGGAAAGGGGAGAGAGGCAAAGAGCAACTAACTGCATTGCAGTTTTGCTGGAAAACAGAGGCGTTGAAAGGAACGGGCATGGAGACGACGAAGAGTTATGAGGAGAGTTACGGCTCGGGATGGTTCTCCACAAACTAATTTAACGACACGATGTTTTCCTCATTTGTTTGTATCCTTTCATGCATTAAAAAAAAACAGCAGAGTAAAAGGAACACTCAAAACAAATGTGAATTTAATTAAGCAACAAGACATGACAGACGGTGCTCGGGTGCTAATTAACACAACTTGGGGTGCGCAGCGAGACAGGAGGGGAAATTTCTCCCCATTGGTTGCCTTCCATGCCAGATTGAGCCAACCGGGAAAATGCTTTGCAAAAGGTCTTTGTGGGCTGTTAAAAGTAAGAGCAAAAAAAAAAATAAAATAAGCCAGCATGTTCTGAAGAAAGCCAGCGGAGGGACGGGAGACAAAGAACCAGGCTCCTTCATCTTTGTCCTCCAGGGCCCACTGCTGGGCTGAGTCTGTCTGTATAGGTGCCAATAACCTTTGATGTTTGAGGGAAGGCAAGAAGGAGTAAAGAATGCTCTGCTCGGGAAGGAGAAATCAGCTCAAACATGGAAGACTCTTCCAGCCATTGACAATTATCTAAATTTAGAATGAAGGTCCCCTGAGTGCCATGTCCAAGAGGAGTTCAGCCCGCTACTCGGTAGGCTTGTCAGAAAGGAGCTGAAGGAATCTCTAGGCGTTCTTTCCAGCCTTAAGGATCCTTCGTTTCTGTATAAAATGGTGTGTGTGTGTGTGTGTGTGTGTGTGTGTGTGTGTATACCATATATATTTAACATATGTGTGCGTATATATATTATATATAACATTAAAGCGACAGGAAGAATGTTATCACTATGCAATTGCTTTAAGGCAGAAGTAGATTCTAAGAGAAAGATGTAAAGATGCTTTAAAGGGAGGGGTGAAGACCAATCAAAAGTGTCAGCAATGGAAGCGATGAAACAAAGGAAAATAGTCCAGGGCGGGAGGAGCAAAAATGAGGAGCTAATGTCAGGGGCTTAGGTGGAGAGCAAATGTTTTGAGAATGATGAGGGCAATGAATGTACAAATGTGCTTTACACAATTGATGTATGTATGGATTGTGATAAGAGTTGTATGAGCCCCTAATAAAACAATAAAAAAAGAATTGTCCACTGGGGGATTCAAGCAACAGTCCACAAGCAAGTTGTCCTTCGCAATGATAAGTACAAATTAATTGTCAGAACTTGACGTATTTGGAAATCTGAAGGAAATAAGGATATTCACTTGCCATTACCACAAATAGGTTGGAATCCAAACTCCATAGCTTAGCTATGAGGTTCCATTGTGATCCAGCCCCTGACGACTGCTCCAGTCTCATCGCTTGCCATGTTGCTCTTAGGTTCTGTTGGGTCAGTTCTCACTCAAAACAACCCTTGAGTACAGCCCCACGCCAGGCTCACAATTGTTCTTCTGTTTGAGCTACTTGTTACAGCCACTGTTTCAATCCATCTCATTGAGCGTCTTCCTGGTTTTCACTGGACCTCTACTTTACCAAGCATGATGTCCTTCCCCAGAGACCTGTCTCTCCTGATACCATGTTGAAAGAATATGAGGCAAAGTCTTACCATCCTTGCCTCTGAGGATCGTTCTGGCTGTACTCCTTCCCAGACAGATCTGCTTGTTCTTTGGGCAGTCCGTGTGGTTTTCAGTGTCTTTGTTAACGCCACAGTTGAAATGCACCAATTCTTCTCCGGTCTTCCTGATTCAGTGTCCAACTTTCACATATGTATGAAGCGATTGAACATACTACAGCTTGGGTCAGGTGTACCTTAGTCCTCATAGTGGCACCCTTGATTTCAACACTTTACGATCTTGTGCAGAGGATTTGTCTAATGCAATGATCTCTTGCCATCACCCTAGGTTTTTACCCTCCTCAAGCAGGAGCCCTGGGTGAGTGCAGTGGCTATGAATTTGGTTGCTCACAGAAAAGAATTCTGCTAGGGAAATATGCGGGTTTCTCATATGAAGAGTTACACATGAAGAGTTACACTCTCTACAACTCACAGGGGCGGTTCTATCCGGTCCTATAGGGGTGCCATGAGTAAGACCTGACTTGATAGCAGTGACTTCAAGCAGTAACCAGCTACTGGTCAACCAGTTGCCATCCATTGATTCCCCATAAGTGCCAGAGTTGTACTGTGTTCTGTAAGGTTTTCAGTAACTTATTTTTGCAGAAGTGGGTATCCAGTCCTTTCTTCCTAGACTCCTCTGGGTGAAGCAGAGGCACCAACCTTTCTATTAGCACTTGAGTATGTTAACAGCTTATCCTACTTAGGGAGTCTTGGTGGTGGAGTGGTTACGCACTGGCTGCAATACAAAAGGTTGGCAGTTCAAAACCACTAGCAGCTCTGAGGAAGAAGGATGGGGCTTTCTACTCTCATAAATAGTTACAGTCTCAGAAACTCACAGGGGCAGTTCTACCCTGTCCTAGAGGGTCACTGTGAGTCAGTATTGGCTGGATGATCGTGAGTGAGAGGCCCCTAGCTACTGGTCATTCCTAAGTATCCTGGGCCTCCTCTCGTGTAATTGTCTTTCCCTGACATGCCTTGCCACTAAGGGTAAGACATCACCATATACACAGGACTAACCCCTAGTCCACCCTGACCTGACCCTGCCAGGTCCAAGGGATCGGCCCTCTGTGCCTGTAGCCATAACATCACACCTCGAGGACACAGTAAATGTTACAGACTCTGATCGTCTCAAGGACTGAGGTTCAACCTTATTCACCTTGGCTTCCTTGGTCCTTCTTGGCATTTAATTCTAACCGCCCTGAAGTCCACTCCTGTTCTTGTGAGTGACAGTGTGCTCCCCAGGGTTTCCAGCAAAGGGTGATGGGGAAGGGGATCCCCAGACCTTTCTTCTGGGTGTCCTGAAACCGCCCGTCTTTGAGTTAGCAGCAGATGGCACTGAGCATTGACCTAACGACCCAGGGACGCTGGCGCTTGACACCAAAGATGGCCACGTCTGAAGATGAGTGGGAGTTGACCAGCAAGCCAAAAGGAAGAGAAAAAAACGATGCCAAAAATTGCCAGGAAAGGAACAAGACAGGTGCCTGCCTTGTTCAGGGGACTGTGAATTAGTCCTTGGTGGATAGAAGCAAGGAACAGGGACTGAGGGTTGAAGAGATTCCGAGTGAGGCCAAATAGCGCTGAACAATCCATTCTCCTCCTGCCCCTGCCGGACAGCCAAGGGGGCTATGCCTTTCCTGTCTCCCCCCCACCCCACTCCAAATTCCCGGAAAGAATCAGGATTTCTCCCCAGCCCCCTGCAGCGGGACCTCCGCTACTTTCCTGAGCCCCCACGCCTCCCCACGGGCTCCCTGAGCAGGGTCACCACTGCAGTTGATGGCCACCTACAGCTCATTCCACGGCTCCATGGCAACGTTGTCTTGTGGGGGGCCAAGGCAGGCGGGTGGGAGACAGCTCTCAGCATCTCCCAAGGCCATTAATACAGTTCACATAAGCGAAGAAATGCGCCTGGCAACTATGCTTTTAGGTGGTAGTGGTGGAGGAAGCCCTGGTTTCATAGGGAGACCTTCGCAGTTCACGTTTTGTCCTTAAGTTGTGTTCCTGTGGGGGCGCCCCCGGAACATGTTCCCAGGCTGATTTTGCACACAATGCTCATGCGGTAGCTTTTCATATCGCCCATGGGCTGAACGGAGGTGTGCAACCTTGGAAGAAACGCATCCACACCGAAGTTTGCCGTGCCAACCTCTTATTTCTCCTCTGCACCCCTGTACGTTGATCTGCAGGCTTTAATTGGTGGAATCATTAAAGGATGTAATTAGAGGCCGGTGGCAGTGGGCCGGGAGAGGGGGAGGGACGAGGCCCCCCAATGGCATCTATAATCAAGGGCATCACTGAAACGGCAGTGACAGCAATGCTTCTCCTTTGGCGTCCTGCCTTCCTGCTTGCCTGCCTGCTATAAGAGCTGCCGGAGCTCTCTGCAGCCGCTAATAAATCATTCTCGGGGACCTATAACCCCACTGGTAGAAAAATGGTCCTTTCGCAGCCTCTCGGTTGTTATTAATGCGCTCTTGCTGGGCCTTCTGCTCCACAGCGGACCTTGAAGACCTTCCCAATTGAAAAGGAGAACTCTGAGCCGGGGCTTCCTCCAGAGGGGGCCCTGCAGACTGACCCCGACTTCTCTTTCCAGCGGGCTCCGTGGTGGGCTGGCTCCCAAGGTGAGCAGTGACTCCAAAGGCAGTGGTTAAAAATAGGTTAGAAAGCTCAGGAAACCTGACGGGGCAAATCGGAAGGCTAGATCTCAGAATCAGGGTCCTGGGAAATGGGGAGTGGAAAGGTCCGGGGGTGTGGGGGTGGGGGTCCTCAGTGGAGAATAACCGCTGGAGGCACAA